AGAACCTACGCCATAGCTGGGTGATTCTCTGAATTCGGTGCACTTTGTGTCCCACAGGTTTACCTCAAAGATTTTCATATAAAGTAAACCACAAAATGCATTTTAAAGCAAGAAATGGAAATACCTATGTGTCTTTGCATTATAACACACAAACATATTTTTAAAAAATTATGTTTTGAAAAATTTCATGGGTTGCTGAGGAGTAGAGGTCAGCCAAATGTGCATATCCCCACTGACCAAAGTTACTTTTTCAATGAATATAAAACAAATAAAAACAGCCAGTAACCCCAAGTTTTTTCTGCTAATATAATTATTTGCCCATCTACTTTAACCTAAATAAAAGAAATCATGAATTATTTATAAATAGCACTATTTAATCATGTCCCCCAGTTTTCTTCAGCCCTGTAACAGCATACCAATTCCCCCTTTTTGAAAATAATGGTTCAGTACAACTTCCTCAGCACCCAGGGAGTGACATCACTCAAGTCTTTTCCAGCTCACACTGTAAAGAGAGGTATGTGTTTGCATACTTTCTTACCTATATTTCATTGTTTTTATTGTCAGATTGACATCGTCAAGCTCAACCTTTCAACACTGTTACATGCATAAATGATATTTACTATTGTTGGGAAAAGCAAACAATAGTGTTGGAAAAATAAATTAATTTCTTATTTTCCTCATGCCATGTGGTGCTCCATACCCTAGCCAATGTGGACTTATGGCTAGTTTTAGCGAAAATCTTCAACCCTGTAACAAAAAAAACACTGTTACCGTGTTGAATCATTGTTACAGGGTTGAAGGTTGAACTGTTCTCAAGCCAGCCAGCCAGCCAGCCAGCCCCTTTTCTCTAAATGTTATTTCATGTTTATTATTTTCAGATATCAGATGGCTAAATCAAATACAGAGAGGCAAAGAGAGTACAGGGCAAGAAGAAATGCAGATTCACAGAGAAGGGAAGAATACCTCAGGAAAGAGCGTGAGCAGTGGAAAAGAGATACAGAAGCAGGGAAAAAGAAATCCATCAATGACCTGAGTAAGAGAGCTCAAAGACGTAAGCGGAAGGAGTGGCAGAAGGCTAAAGAAAGACAGAAAAGAAAAGTTGAGATTGACAAACAGTGGGCCTATCTCTCTAACTGTTAAGGCAGTTCAATATTAGGACCCAAAAGCAGACACCACCAGAAGACTGAAGTCAGGATGATCAAACACAGCTTTCATCTTGTGAACAAAATCCTCATAAGACCAGGTTCCCACAGATTGACTTGAATAAATTGCCTCCGCCCAAGCCAAAGCTCTTCCTCTTAATAATCCCAGTAAATATTGTACCTTAGATTGGTCCGAAGTAAATGCTTGAGGCCGTTGCTGGAAAACCATGGCACATTGCAGGAGGAATCCTCGGCATTTGTCCATTTGTCCGGAGAAGGGCTCTGGGTCGGTGGCATAGGAATCCCGAGGTGGAGGTGGCGTAGGAGCAGCAGCAGGTGGAACGGACTGAGGAGGTTGAGCTGGGGACACTGAAGGAGTGAGCAGAGACGTGAGTAGAGACACTTGGTGTGTAAGTTCAGATATTTGATTTACCATGCTTTGGCTGCTTTCGGAGAGTGCTCGGAGATGTTGCTGATGTTGTCCTAATAACTGACCATGACTGGAGACGGCTTTCTGTAAATTTACAGTTTCAGGGTCTGTGTCTGATGGGTCCATGCTGGCCAGATCGTTCTGTTA